AATATTTATTGCATTTTTATTTACAATGATTTATATTGCTTGTAGCTGCTTTTGGAGGACAGATATCCTGAAAGATGGGTAGAAGCAGATGTAATAAGTAAATAACATAAGATAAACTAATGGTGACCATGGATCCTTCTATGATTATGTGAAGGAGGTTAATGAAAAAAAATTGAAGTCTCTACTGAAAATGCTAATATCTGACACTCCTTTTCCCCACACCCTCAAAAGTTCTCCTTAGCTGTAATGCATGTATCTGATTGATGGAACTCTTCAGTAAGTAGCAGATATGCTGGTGGAAAAGGTAATTGATAATAGAGTTGGAATAGAGAATAATGATTATTTTAAAAAGCACATTCTCTTCTATTTGTGCTGGCAGTTACAGTTTGCTACACATATTGCTAGCTGGCATGATGTAGCTTTGGATTTTGCTGGTATGTGCGTGCATTTTATAGTTCTTGCAAACTTCCTTTTGTCTGTATCACCATTTTCTTAAGGGCTAAGGTATAATAATGAGCTGTTATCTTTAGGAAAATAGATGTTAACTCAGCTGTTAAGCATGATTCTTTCCAGTGTGCTTGCAGCACCAATACTGGGGCCCCTTCCAAACACCTACCAGTTCATCCCCTTCCCCTAACTATCAGGAACATTTTTGTGCTGCTGTGCAGCCTTCCACAACTGTCCCTACTTTTCCTTCCTTGAGCCACATAGTGGGGTTTTTTCCCCAGTGGCTAATGGGCAAACACCAAAAATGGTAGCTACCTGCTTTCCTTTTCTTGTTCTTCATCACTAGATTTGTTCTTTGTGGTGAAGAAAAATGCAGAAAGTCTCCTCCTATGAGCCACTGCGCAAAGCCTTTAAGGGAGGAAAACAGGAGATTGCACCAATGGGAAAGGTTCCAACCAATGGAAACCACCTGCTGTACAACTCTGGATAATGTTAACTTCATAATCTGTGAAGTTAATGAGGACACGAAGTCTGCCAGAACTCCCATGGAGTCATGGAGATAGGCGGCGGGGGGGGGGGGGGGGGGAATGCAGTTTTGCCTGTTAAAAGACCCTAG